TCTGTGTTTCCTTTGTCCTCAGGACATACCTGGATACTGCGGCAGTCCCAGATGGCATTGTTATTATTAACAGCTGATGGTTGTCATCACTACTTCAAATCCTGCTGCTGATTCAGCAGATTTATGCCAATCTGTGAGTGGGCCAGCACTGCCGCATTCTCCCTCCAGCATGCCCACATGGACGGGTAAGGGCACAGGATGCAATCCATCTGGTCTCCAACGCCAAACCAGACAGATGATGCCAAACCTCTCTGTCTTCTGGCCTGGTCTCACCTTCTAGCCAAACTGAGCAACACAGCTGGCAATAACACACCCTCTGCACCTTCACTCACACCCCAAATGCTCTCTTCTCCCAGGACCATGAGCTGTGACGTACTGCTTCTCCTTGTCCAGCAGAAAACAGGCCAGTAACACACAGAAGCCCTCCATCCAATCACTGGAGAGAAGTGGGTGGATTATGGCAGACAATTCCTAATTCACTTTTCAATTTCATCTTACAGGTTTTCAACGCTTATTGATCTTATGATGTTATATCATCCATTATTAACTTGTTATCTGGGCAATGTCCAGCTAAAATCTGGTCTGATGTTTATTTGAGAAAACATTCCAGTTTCACATGGACAATGTTTTTTATTCAGGCACAGATAACCAATGGTCAGTGACCTCCAGGACTATTCATGTTCTTGCCAGATGTTATCAAGCCCTTATCTCTGAATATAGGTGGGGCATCATGAATGCCAAAAAAAGGGGCGGTAACATTCAAAGGATACAGAGTAAGATATGCTGGTTTATTTACATATTTGTTTAGATTTTTCAGCTACCCTTCACCTACATTCATGCTTCGCCAACCAAAAAGATCTTAAAAAGCAAGACCTGGACATCAAAGTTCTCAAAATGGGTTTAAATATCAAGATTTTTATATTGTATGACTTCGGAACCTGCCCATTGTACACACTTCATTGTTAAACACTTTCTTCTGCATCTCTGAGATTATACATGTTAAGCAGCTATAGTCAGAATATACATATATTATTTTGATTCCAAAGGTAGATTTTAAAGACCTCCCACTAGACATAATCATAAATACTATACAATCACAACAGTTGCCAATACTTCCCTTATGTTAACCTACTACAACTTTTAAGCATGAGTTAAAGCTTAAATTTTAAGAGCAGTATAACGCCAGTATAAAGCCCTGAAAAAGTCAAATCCCTTGAAACTTCCTTTCATCCCATTATTAACATCAAATTCTTAACTCCACCTTTGTCCCCAGCCTCTCAAGCCCCTCAGCCAACAGGTCAGTCTTGCAACGTATGCTTAAGGTCATCCACTGAAGACAAGACAAGGAATACTGACACCCCTTTTATTCCCTGTATTAGTTCTTGAGGCTTCCCAAGCAACGAGACTTTTGTGACTACATTGTCAACCTGCTCACTTGACGGTCTCATCCAAAGAGCTTTTGAACTTAAGGCCTGTTTGAATGAAATTTGATAGACAAGGTGATGAAGCCTCTAAAAGTTCGATAAAAAAATAGTTACTGGTAAAGAAAAATAAGCTGCAGGCAGAGAGGGGAAGCTGTAGCTGCAGCTGCTGCTTTGAAGACCATAACCAAAGCAAATTTGTGTAACATTGTATTTGCATCAGAGGGCACACTGTTTACACTCAGGAGATAAAAGTGAGACATGAATGAAGACATAACGTGTTTACATACTTGTCCATTGTACTGGAAGGCATGTCTGTTAAATGTGAAGCTACCTCAAAAACTGCAAAAAAATGCTTCTTTTTTTTTTTTTTTTTTTTTTTTTTGCATCAAGGTGTAATGCAAATCAATGTAATCATCATGGTCTGAAGCTATGAGGCATCACAGACTGAAAAAAAGTAAAGAGAGGCTAGGAAAGAATTCTCCTATAAGTAACTGGAGCCACATGTGTCTTTGTTAGCTGTACTCTTGTTAGGAGTGGAAACAACAGCAGCTGGAGAGCAGCAGAGGCTATAAGATGGATAAGGTCTTGCTACCTGCATAATTGGCTGAGCTGTGTGATTTGATAATCCCAGCCTGGGAGCGAACCACTGCAGAAGGCAGAGAACAGTCAGCTAGCACAGTGGTTGTCTTCCCAAGAAATCAGAGGGATATCTGTAAATAAGTATGGCTATACTTTAGGAAAGGAGCAATTGGTTATTGAATATTATCTCTTTTATTTGACAGCTCTCTTTCTCTTTTCCCCCTAGAATAAAGTTCTACTTATTAAACATTTGATGATACCCTGTTTTTCAAGTAGGGAAGATAAGCCACTTTTGGGTGTGTTCACGCAGATTTCTGGAGAGAGGTTTAGGATGGATGTTTTTTACCAACTCCTTAAAGTTTGAACGTGGATCATCTCTTACTGATGCAAGTCAAGCCTTGGTAAAAGTCATAGAGACAAACAAGATTTGATACTCTAGTCAAGAGAAATACCATGTTTGCATAAACATTCCTATTCCTGCCAGCAATCTGTTTATAGAAATGGCTTCACTAAAACAACATACGAAATTTACAAGCAATAAATATAAAAACAAAATAAGTATTAAAAAAGACATCAAACTGGATGAGAAATGAGAAAAATACATTATACTGATTCGAGTACAACCAATATTTAATTAACTGCTCTGACTGTGCCTGGAGTGCTTGTCCACACTGTATTTCAATGATAGAGTCCAATCTTTTTTTTCCAAAGAAATCAAGGACAAAACTCTCTACAGTGGGAACACAATCTTACTTTTACTTCTGCAGTTAGTTTTGCAGGAACTGTACATTTTTTACTGTTTATTCATGGTGTTTCTATTTCATACATAAAAAATACACAAGCCACTGTCAAGAAAATGATCAGTGTCACAATGAGCAGCACAGAACAAAAGGAGAAAAAAAGGGCAAACAATCTGCAAACAATAGACTACTAAGGGAATTATGTTATAAATTACCTACTACGATGCCTTTCTTCAATATGACTGCCCATTTCAAAAATTAAACGGTATTGTAAGTAATGAATGGGGGTGTCATTTGGAACACAGGAACGGTGTGAATATTGTTCTTATCTGATGAGATGTATTTTAAATGTCTTTGATTATTTACACAACATTTATTTCACTGCTTTTTTTCAATCTTCCAGAAGAAATTCTGAATTATTGTAATAAAACATTACAAAAACATAAACAAAAGAAGTGCCTTACTGTATCAGAACAGTGGTTCATCCAGCCCTGTATTCATCTCTCACAGTGGCAAAAGATAATTGTGGTTAGGAGAAACATATGACCTGCTCCCTTTCTGCAAACCATTCCCCTTGTACCTTTCCAGTACCCAGAATCATTGTACCAGGGATTTAAAAGAGTACTTATCTGCTTAGTCCTTCTAGTACTCACTTAAGGATCTGCTGTCCATGAACTTTTCTAAGTCATTTCTGACCCTGCTGATACTATCTGTCTCTACATCTTTCTGCTGCAACAAGTTCCAGAATTTCACTACCCGTTGCGCAAGGACTATTTTTATCCATTTTAAACTGATTCACACGAGTTTTGGGTGCCCCCAGTTCTCATATTGTAAGATTCACCATTTAGCTTATCTACTACCAAAGAACTGTTAAGTGTGTCCTGAATTAACTATAAAAGAAAGCCAATGCTTCAGATCTATGCATTTTAAAATGTGATTTCTTGGACATCAGACATGATAAAAGTTGGATTTTTTTTAAATAAGGATTAATGAAATGAGGTAGGCTTTAAGCATGATTACCCATTATATTTCCCAATGCTTCTCACAAAAATAAGTCAAACTTCAAAGTCAAACATATAAACACAAGTCAATTATATAGCTAGCACATTTTTCTATGAGAAGCTGATCCAACCCTTCACATCAACCAGGATTTGGAAAATTTCTCATCTGAATCTGACCTTGACATTTTGGACTCACATTGAATTTTTGTGTTTTCTTACTCAGAGTTTGAATTTTCTATTCAAACTTCAGCCACTCCCTGACAAGTGATTACTGCCTTTTAAGAATGTCTTAAACTACCCTGAATACAAGATTTTAAATACAATGAGACACCTTCTCCTTTCTGCTTTGCAGAGGATATCAATGTATCCTGTGAAAGGTATGAATCTTAGTATGTACTGAGTTATTTTAATAAACAAAAAAAAAATTACCAGTAATTCTCTGAAGAAGCCTACGAAGGCTACTACAGCCAAAGAGCACACGAAACTGCTCAGATTGAGAAAGCGAAGGCAGCTTTATGTCACTTCATGCCATGCCTAGATCGCATCGGTATTAAGCCAGTCAGTCCCATTCTGTGTACAAGTCTGAAACGATGTAAAGCTGACCAAAGTCTGCTCTTAATTTTCTTGAGCTGGAAGAGTAGCAGGTACTCACATACAAGCTACAGACCACCAGCTTGCAAGTGCACCTTTAGCTACAAACACATCCCTCTTCCGAACCTGAGTGACCTCCTTGTTTCCTTTTCACTAGTTCTCTGCTAGGCAAGGATCTGTAAAAACAGGGATCTGCATATAGCTGTCATTTGACCACAAAGATTTCAGCATATTTTCAGTTCAACTGTTTTTACAGTAAGTAAATAGAAAACTAAGATTGCATAATACCTGCATACATAAAGAGGACTTCTTAATGCCAGGCTCGGAAGTAGACTGTTAGAAGCTAAGTATTATTTCATAGTAAAACATTATTGCATAATGCCTGCTTAAAGAATCACAAATGTAGTCCCTTTGATGAGTAGTCCAGAGAGCATTATAAGGCCTACTTCCCTCAAAATCTGCTCAATCACTATATAATCATTTACTTACTGCTATCAAACGTTAATCCAGGGCCAAGGTAACGGCCCTGTGACATAACACTTAAATTTATATAAAACCATGCCCTTTTAGCATTCATTTATAACTTTGGTGGGCTACGCTTACTTCAAAGCAGACTACTGGCTTTATCAGAGCATGGGCAGAAGTGACCTAACACTGCAGACAAAATGTTGCTTCTAGTTTCAGCTTTTTTTCTAACACTACTACAGTGCTCTAATGCCCAAGAGAAAACAAGCATTACACCTGAAGACTGTAGTACCATCGAAACAGATGCAGGAGTGGCGCTGGATTTGGTCAACAGACATCGCAGAGATGGCTATGTTTTTGGCTTGTTCCGTGTTGCTGATGCATACAGACTACATACAGTAAGTATCAATTTAAAGGCTGATTTACACAAGGCTCTGATCTTAAAATAATGAGACACATCATTAAAAGCTTATGTTTATTGCTTTTAACAGAGCAATGTTGATGTAATTCAATGAATCAGCTCTGATTTACGCTATCTCAGCATTGGTTTGTGTGCAATTTGTTGTATGTAAGCTTGATTTCGAACGATGCTGAACGCCCTCTATTCTCTCAGCTGACAGGATGTTAGCGTAAGAGATGCTCTGAACAACTTAATACAACACCGGAAATTAATCTGTCTTGTCTGTTTTCAGGTCTCAGGTGTTATGTTCAAAATTTACATTTGGAGGGTTTCTTTAATCTGTGAATGTCTAATATTAGTTAGATCAATGTATCCTGCAAGATCGGTATTTTGTTTTTATCTTTATTTCGGAGATAGCTGGATAACTAGAGGGAAGGAAAAAAGACAGAGGAAGCCAAAGGAGGCAAAAATGCCACTCTGCAGAACAAGGGAAGGTCTGGATAGAGAATCCATATCAGTAATTTCCTGTTTCCTTCCTATTTCTATTTCTGTTTCCTAGAGAGGACATATAAGCCTTTCTCAATGATTGTCCAAATGCCAAAGCAACTCAATAGCAGAAAGGGCAATAGAATACAAAATTTCTGTAACTAGTAGACAAAAGAGACCAAGGACATGCAGATTTACTGTCTCACCTGCCTACCTTTTAGCTGTTTGGCTATGAAACTGGACTCCAGGCACACATGCACTGTTAAAGTGTGTTACACTTCTCAGCATGGCAACTGAAAGAACAGGGCAGTTTTTGCTGGAGCTGCGTAAGAATGCCTGTTAGGACAAGAAAAAGCTGAGAAAGTGACCCAAAGCCTAGATTCCTACAGGTCTTCAGGTATACTTTCAGAAAACCTGATGGATTATTTTGTTTTTCAAAGACAAGCATGTTGCAAATGATACTGTTGGGATTTATGCAATAGACAAGTAGTTAAAGAGCTCAACTAGGAAGCAATCAGTCTTCTTCAGCGTTAAGAGATTTAAACCCTCAAGTCTCTCATCCTTGAAGAATGCTGCTGCCATGCAGCTATGCGTGTGCCACCCCTGCAAAGTGGAGCCACTGGGCAGTAAGGCATGCAATATCCATTGGATGAAAAAGATTAATCATAGTTGCTTCTAAAAAAATCCCAGTGTTTCTATATTTTATACAATTATTGACTATATAAACTATAAAATCATAACTTGGAATAGAAACCAGAGCTGAGGATTCACACTTGCAAATGAATGTTATAACCATTAGACTACCATGCTCGTGGGTTTTTTTGTACTCTTAATGAATTTTGCTGTCTTTGCAGTCCAGGGCCACAGCTTCAGCTATCACGCAGAGTCTACAAAAACAGAAAAGACCCTTTTATCTATCTTACTGCTAAAGAATTTTCCCTGTAAGGTCTCTGTACCTTCCCAGACCCAAAGCCACGAGGTGCATTCTCCTGCATACTGATCATGTACACTATTTTGCAAGAAGTTAAGCTGGCTCCACTGCCAAGATGACATTAAAAAGATTAATTTTTTTTTAAAAAAGAAAAGACCAGAACATTATTATCTCCATGCAATAAGTGTGCATCAAGTCTACCACATCAACCCCCTGAGAAACTTCAGCAGAGCAATTCCTAGCAGCCAGATCTCTACTGGGTTTACATGGGAGTTCTAGAAGAGTAAGATACTTAAGTATTCACACTATAACAGTTGTTGGCTTGTACAGTGCAGAACATTGGTGCCCAAGATGCTTTTAAAACAACCAAGAAGGCACCATAGAAGATAGATAATTTCTTTTCCAAGATCTATCCAGCAGATAGCTAGATGAATTTTCTACTTCGCATTTTGATTTAGACACTGAATTTCACCTAAGGTCTGATTTAGGATTTATTGGATCCAAAGGCATCCTG